TGAACTGCATCCTCGAACAAGCTTCAACATGAAATATATATTTCATATTATGCCGTCAAAATTCCCTAAAGTTGCTTTATTTTCACTTTAAAAAAGATTGTATTAAAAAAAAGCGACTTTTCATGTGAAAAATTAAAAGACTATTAAATGTTTTGGTTAGTGTTCGTAGCCAAAACGGTCACTTATGTTTCACATAATCGTGTGCAAGCACAGGACCATAAAAATATTCATTTGCATTGACTATAAATGGCGAATGTTGAATGGATTTTTGAGCTCGTTAGGATTCAGCCAATTTCCCAGCTATCAGCGGAACCCTCGCTCACTACACATGCTTTCAGCGAGGTTCCTGTGTGGATGGGTAAAATGATAGTGCGTGGTGTAGTCTAATTTAAACTTTTTAAGAAGTTTCTTATTTCTTTTTTTTTTGCCTTTTCTTAACAATAGAAAAGGCGAAAGGACTTCTTCACTTTCTGCCAGGTACGGGGTCATCCACATAATGGATGACGCTTATACTGTTCTGAAATAATTATGTACTTGTTGCGTACATCATGTTCCGAAGAGTAAGCCGGTAAAACACGGTGCACTTAAGTGCCAGTAGAATATTAATGATTTCGACTAAATTATGTTATAAATTACTCGGGAAAATGTTTTTATATATGAGTAAATTTTTTCTTATATATGATAAATTCTATGATAGTCTGAAATTTATTAAAACGTATTGTTACTCTTACTAAAAGATTATTGAATAATAATGACAGTAACCAAAATTAATTCATTTAGTGAGATGTATTTATATAAGGTACTGGCAATTTAAAAATCGAGTAGGATTTTATTTATGAGTAGACAGAGCTCGTCGACTTACCTAGAAAATATGTTTTTAACTGATGATGTCTTTAGAATAAAGACGAAACGTCTCATTTTGAAATCAGTCATTTCAACATGACTCGTTTACACTTCTCAGTGGGACTACTTATAACTTTGATATACAACATGAATTTCTTTCAAAATTTAGCTTCATATATTACTATTGCAGTAGTCCAAAGTTACGATGAGAAATTAAAAAAGAGTTGCTCTGTCTTTTTTATTTAGACCAACTAAGAGACCTTGTTCCTTCGAATTTTAATCCAATTTGTAGTTTGCTATAATGCCCGAAAGATTATGCGCAGAAAAAGTGGATTCATAGGTAATAAACTATGGTGTATCCAGTGGGTATATTCGCGAGATCCTTCAGGGGTCACCGAAGTTCGAAGAGACCTCCAGAAAGCCTTTTAGGATTTATTGAAATATGAAACTCCAACAAAATACTTACAGAAATAGCCCGCTACGACCTGTCCAATGGGCAATAATATGCATTATCAAAACCCTCTGACGATCTTCAAAGGATTTTCAGAAAAACTTTTCGTGAGACCATTCCCATTTGGATGGATCAGACGACTCGAGCGCAGCACGTCCAATAAAAGCACCCGATTTCCAGAATTAATAAATTTTTAATAAGATAATATATAACAAGAGTACAAAAAATAATAACAATTGTAAAAAAGTGAGAAAACGAATAATATCACGACTAAACAATCAATTTAAAAAATGCTTTATTTCATTCTTGTTATCTTTTGGGTGTTCTTATCACCACATAAATAGAGTTCTCTCATTTCAAAATATCCAATACTAATTATTTTCCATTGTCTCCACTTCTTTACTTTCTTTGGTAATTTCTCAACTGTAATTTCTCGTTTTGAAATTTTATTGTAGAATTTCTCTACTGCTGGTGAAAATTAATGAGAGAAAATTTTACTCATCTCCTTCCATTGTGTACGTGACGTGACAGATAGAAATGGCTTAACTCGAGTGCTTACTTCTGTAAGGCAGAAGTTTTAAATTTAGATCGAGACTAGAGGGAAGAAACAAACAGTGTTTCTTTTTAGAAAGGAATGTTTGCTTTGAGTATATAGATGGAGAGGTGAGAAATGCAAGCGAAAAACGCTGAAATTGTATACCCTGTCACCGTCCCCCAGTAAATTCTCCATATAAATTCATGGTTTCCAACCTATATTTGAAATGTTTCTATTTTTCAAGCGGTGTCGTAAGGTCTTTATTTTCAGAATTGTTCTATATTTATTATTTTCTTGTCATAACAAAAGTGTTCGTTTGTAGGATGGTCGAACTAAGTCTTTGTATTGTAAGATCCTATTACTAGTCTTTGGTTTCTACAACATCTTCTAGATAGGTAATGTTAATAATTAGTTTAATATCTGGATGAAGACTTCTACAAACTGAACAATTTCGACCTATTTCTTCTAGTTGCTTACGATGTTCAGGGGAAATGGAGGACGAATTATTAATGAAGATGTCAACAGTTATTTGTCCAATTCTACGTGGAACTTCAGACATAATTTTATTAACATTTGCTATACTTTCATCCATTGTAATACCATTTTTTTCAGCATATCTTCCCATAGCAGTAAGGATACAACATCCCAATGATGCTGCAGTTAGATCAGGAGGAGAAAATGATTCTCCATTACCATCAGTGATAATTGCATTGCCAGATTCAATATGTGTAGCGTGTGTACGTAAATTACCCTTGTAAATAACTTTCGAAACCATCTTAACTAACTTTCGGTCACTAAAGTTAAAGATAAACAGACAAATATAACTTCATAAACATGGTATCGGGCAGAAGCCTTGCTTCTAATCAGCAAGTAGAAGATTATTTCAAACAAGGACTTTGAATCGACTAATCTTAAACGATCGATTATCATTCCAATTGCTTAGGCGAGAAAGGGAATCTTTAACCATTTATCTGCCTTGCTTAGATATACGCGAGTACTACCCTAAAAACGTTTATTTCTTTGGCTAATTTATTACAAACCATTTGAAATCTTATTTTTTTACTGAAGAGTTGATTACCAAAATGTTTTTTTTCTTGGGGAAGTAGTCGTGAATCTTTCGAACCATCGTCTTTTTCGGTTTCTTCGAAGAAATTCTCTGGGATTACAGTCAGAAAATGCAACTTATCTATTGAAACTAAAAACTAAATAAACTTTCTTTCTACCTATATGAATGCATAACAATAAAAAAAACAGAATAAAAAAGATAACCTCCATAAGAATATCTGATACAAAGCAAACATTCCTCTCTAAAAAGAAACACTGTTTGTTTAAAGGGAAACAAATTCTCTACGGTGTTAAACATAGCTCAGCAGCGCAGATTTAGCCTCGATCTATATTTAAAACTTCTGATCCTACAATACAAAGACTTAGTTCGACCATCCTACAAACGAACACTTTTGTTATGACAAGAAAATAATAAATATAGAACAATTCTGAAAATAAAGACCTTACGACACCGCTTGAAAAATAGAAACATTTCAAATATAGGTTGGAAACCATGAATTTATATGGAGAATTTACTGGGGGACGGTGACAGGGTATACAATTTCAGCGTTTTTCGCTTGCATTTCTCACCTCTCCATCTATATACTCAAAGCAAACATTCCTTTCTAAAAAGAAACACTGTGTGTTTAAAGGGAAACAGATTCTCTACTTTGTTTAACATAGCTCGCCACCACAGATCTAGCCTCGATATAAATTTAAAACTTCTGCATTACAGAAGTAAGCACTCGAGCTAAGCCATTTCTATCTGTCAGGTCACGTACACAATGGAAGGAGATGAGTAAAATTTTCTCTCATTAATTTTCACCAGCCGTAGAGAACTTACCTTTCTCTTCGTTTTTGAACTGCGGGCACCTTAAATAAAAAATAACTTTATCACAGAATAAAGCAAAAGAAAATCGCATATTCTGTACAAAAATATAAATAAAAAAAGACGAAAGTTTTCATACTTCTTGAAAATCAAGGTGACTCGTTCAACATAGCCAATGAATCAAGACTTGCACATTTACTTCTTCAATGTTTGTTCTAAAATATAACAAGAGAAATTTTTTCATCAAATTTTTCGTCAACCCGATATATCGGGTACGATATCTAGTCACTACCTATCATACTCAATAAAAGTGGTGCAAATAGCTAGCTATCAGAAGCCGATATTGCCCGATAGCATATTTTTATAGCTAGATATTCTCAAAGGCACTTTTTTGTATGGGAGAATCCCAAGCATTTACAGATATATATACACATATGGATACGGATGCAGAAGCTGAATCGAGTTAAATTCTATAGTTTAATCGTTGTATATATACATTCTATGTGCGTGTCTAGATGAACGTGTATATATATAGTTTTCATGAATACATGGCCGGTTCATATTCCTACTCTGAGACCTGTAGCTTCAGCCGATACACTTTATGCTCGTATTATGACATCTCTGTAGTGTCGATGACTCACTGACCAGTAGACCACATACCATGTTTCTTCTGCCTAAAGTCTTAAAACAATGACTCTAAATTAATGGTCTAACTCAATTGACCAATCATGTTTTTACTAGGGACACATTCTTTGCAGACAAAAACTGCTATAAAGCACGTATAAACTTGAGTTCAACGTGTTGTAACACTTAAAAATTCATTTCTGCTGATTAAAAAAATTTTAACATAACTTGAAATAAATTTCGAATTTTTAAGAAAAAGCGTACAATATCCTCTTAGAAGATCTTACAAAATCCTGATAGATTTGTATTGTATGTTTTTGTAAGATTCTTAGTGTAAGAATCCTGTAAGATTTTCGCTACTACCGTACATCAGCAATCTTCCCTGCTGCACAATGTTATAATTTTTCCTGTCACGAACGTTTGTTGTCGATGATAAATGGTAATAAATTAAGAGTTAAATGCAGGAGTAGCTTCTAAGTGAGAGTAAAAACGGCTACTGAAATATTAAACTCTATTTGTCGAAGTGCAAACAGCGAATAAAAATAATTATTTGACCGTTAGTTCGTATACACAAACAATAGTTTTTAAAAAAAAGCATGCCTGAATTTTAGATCCCTTTGTTTTTTATTGATCTTTCCCGTTTGTGATTTTGTAATATACCGAATAATCATGTACACTTCTTTTTGTTTATCATCAGATGCTGCTATACGTGCAAGGAGTCTTATACGAAAAAAATATTCATGTAAGGACAAGCGTCATTTACAGCAGCTGGTGCATAGCTAAGTGGTTAGTGTTGTTGATAAAGCAGAAGGACGGTATGCTAAAAAGTTTTTGTATATTATAGAGGCCTTGTAATGTCACTCTATTGGTAAAAGATTTAACCAGAAGTTTTTTCTTTCAGTTCGTCTTACCTGTGTAATTATATTCAAGCAAGTCGCATGCTTATTTACAAACCTCAGTATGATAACAACTACGATAGTCATATTTTCATTATTTTGCACGACTGTTGGTCTTAATAATGGGCTTGGGCGCACACCACAAATGGGTATAAACTTTCTTTGTTCTTTTTGAACATTTGAATGCACTTGTATTTTTATTAGGATGGAATACATGGTACACTTTTCGTTGTTCATACACCAGTGATACCCTTATAAACACTGTCGATGCTCTTGGAACCACCGGTCTTGCTGCTGTCGGGTACACCTGTGTGCTTCTTGATGATTGTTGGCAGTCAAGTCGTGATTCAGATAATATCATTCAACCAGATCCAAAGGTGTTTCCCCGGGGAATAGAACGTGTCATCGACTACATTCATTATAAAGGTCTGAAATTTGGCTTGTACTCAGGTTAGTAATGGTAGACGTTATTAAGTAGTGTTTTTATCGGTTCTTCTCCCTCTCGGTAGACGCTGGCCACAAAACATGTGCGGGTCGTCCAGGTTCACTTGGCTTTGAAACAACTGATGCCAAGACTTATGCTCAATGGCAAGTTGATTTTCTTAAATATGATAATTGTTATGATGATAAAACTCCGCCTGAAAAACGTTACCCAGTGATGAGAGATGCATTAAATGCTACTGGGCGTCCAATATTTTTTAGTATGTGTGAATGGGGCGTTGATAAACCAGCTTTGTGGGCTTCTACAGTCGGAAATAGTTGGAGGACAACAAAAGATATTAGTGATAAATGGGAAACAATCCTGAATGCGATTGATATAAATGATGAATTTGCAGAATGGGCCGGTCCTGGCGGGTGGAATGATCCAGATATTTTACAAGTGGGTAGAGGAGGAATGACAACAACAGAATATACGTCTCATTTTAGTCTTTGGGCTATTAGCAAGGCGCCATTAATCATTAGTGCTGATATTACAAACATCACTAACGATACATTAAGGATACTTAGTAACCTAGAAGTGATTGCTGTGAATCAAGACCCGCTTGGTGTACAAGGCAAGAAAGTTGCAGCATACTCATCTAATCACTTAAGTACTAAGACGAATGTTCGGATGAGGAGATGCACAAAGAATGGTCAAACACAACGTTGGATATACAGAAGTTGGGATAATACAGTTCGAAGTGCTGTTAATGGGCGATGCATAACAGTATCGGACACCGATAATGCTCTCTTTGTTCACTCCTGTCAAATCGGTGTAGAACGTCAGCAATGGCATTTAAATTTAGAAGCGAAGACATTAGTTTCGTTAGGTTCCGAAACTTCGTTTTCTGTCAAATTTGAAATTGCGCAGGAATTATTCACTATCCACAACAATCACAATGATGAAAAATGTCTTACAGTGGAGCAAGAACTCGAGGTTTGGAGTGGTCCTCTAACAGATGGTTCAATTGCCGTTCTACTGTTAAACCGAGGTCCAGACAATGAATCGATCACGGTGAAATGGATTGATATTGGAATACCAGAACAATACAATGCAACAGTTAGAGATCTTTGGCAACACGCTGATTTAGGAGTCTTCAACCAGTCTTATACGGCCCCTGTCGTCGATTCGCATGGTGTCATTATGCTCAGAGTAACCGTCAAAACTACCTAAACAAACATTCTTGCTTTTATTTTGAAAATCCGGTGGCCAGAAACGGGACATAAATTGATTATATTTTCTGTTAACCATTTATGGCCGGGTGTTGACTACCGGTAACATCGATCTATTAAGTGTCGAAGGAATTTCGTTCTAAAAGAATACACTTTGCCGATCCCTGTCACAGCAAAACAATAAATATAAAGGGAGGAATATTTTTATTAGTTAA